GTGTCTGACGTAACAATCCCGTGCCAATAAGTAAATGAAAAAAGCACGGGTTGTCACATAAGACCCGTGCAATAATTAATTAATATCATATACGTTGCTAAAGTAGATTCGTTATAAATTTAATTTTTATATAGTAATAGTAAAATCGCTTAACCGCATAACATTATAATATAAATAAACAGTTCTAGGGGGTTAAACGGATAAGTATATAATACCTGCACGCGTGGAAAACTACATATTTTGGCACTTAAATCATTTGCTTATTGTGCGAATCTTCCTGTTCATTATACAATATTTGTTGTAAGTGGGAATGGAACCATAATAGGGTTCGGAATCCACTTAGATTAGAACGGAATAATTATACTACAAATCCTTCCACCTACGACATTAACATTATGGTACTTGTATAGGTAATACAAAAATATAAAATGCAGAATTTGCATATATAATATCAATATGAAAATTCTATAGGGGAGGGGGTTTAGCCCGCGAAATGCGGTACTAATAAATAACTTAATCTCTTGAAGACAATTTTATGTCAAGAAGGCGAAAATTCTTTTTATACAACTTAAACTTTTCTAATTATCAGTAATTAATAACGAATTTAAGTACTATTTATTCCCCGGGACGGTGGGAATAATGAAATATTTCCCCGGCACGGTGGAATAAATGAGTTATTCCCTGTCTCATTATGCTCACATGACGGGAATTTACATTTTATTAATCACAACTTTTATTGCAAATTTTTTTTTATTTGTTATTTCCCCGCGGGGTGATAACAAATAAGGCCCGGGGTGATAACAAATACGAAAAAAAATTTGTGATAATAATTGTGATTAATAACACGAAAATCCCGTCATGCGATCATATTGAGATGGGGAATAACGATCAGTATAAAACTTTTTGAGCTTGACAAATTTGCAAACTTCTAAACCTTCAATACAACAATAGTGAATCAATATCTATATTCTTTGTCGAATGAAATATCTTTTCGTACATTAAAATTATGCAATCCATTCCTCAAATTCTTCTCCCTCATAAATATTTTCGATTAAATCATTTTGCTTTTTCGTCTCGTAAAGTTAAACCTTGCAAGAAGAAATGGCTTCAGATTATCCTTCGGGACTGGATATTACGCGACTGATCCTTCAATGACCAGAAATTAAACCCGAATTAGATCCAACGTTTGGATTGTTTTAAAATACAATGGCTGACTTTAATAAAATACAGTATAAGCTGACTTTTTAGTCCGGATCGAAGCGGAGGATCATATGCGAGTCCGTCCGTCCATGTAATAATAATAAACCACAAAATATATTTCATGTGATAATAATCTAATCACGTTTATCTTGGAAAATAAGAATTACCATTACCTTGTATCGATATCATATAAATATGTTATCGTATTATAAGCAAATCTATTACCGTTACTGTAAATAAAACATTGTATGTTTTTTTAGTTAAAATGCAAGAATTTATATACACGAACAATTAATACTTATATATATGTACGAGTTAGCGTTACGTAGGAAGAATGCTGCCTTTACTATCTATAGAAATCGATACATAGTATTTTATCGAATCAGGAGCCGTACCTCCTTTTCGATGTGCATTTTCTTTATAAACGTATATATACTGTATATATGTTGTAAGTGGGAATTTCTTAGTTAAATGAGTATTTCAGGGTTAGTGACTATATGATCATGATCGTTATTGATCGAGAATGATTTTGTAGACTCGATCAAAAAGTAGGTCAATTATTGATCAATTAAGTTTGATCGGTCAGTCGATCAGATGGTCGATCAAGAAAATTTTTTTTTTTTTAGTAGATAAGATATAATCGATCAATTATTGAGTAATTAAAAAAATCAGTACACATACGTACGTACGTACTATGTGCATAGCTTATTTTCAGTGCAATGTCCAGCATCTAAAATAGCGCTATTTCTAGCAAATTGCTCAAATTGCTACAAATAACTAGCTGTATTATTTTTGTGCTAATATGCTATTCATGTCAATCAGGACTAAAACGTGTATATTATTGAGACGATTAAATACAGTAAATGTATGTTGTGATTATAGATGCTGGTGGAACTGTTCACCAGTTTCACCAGCATTTATAGTTGTCATTGCTAATTTGCTATTTTCGTTGGCTAATCTGCTATTAAAAGCTGGACACACTACGTATTAAGTGTGTACATATCAATATGTGCGTACGTAACGTACATAGTATATAGTTTATTTTCGATATCGATATGCTTCACAGAAATTTTAAAGTTTAACGCATATTTCCATTTACTAACAAATTGATTGGTTAAAAAAATTTTTTAAATTTTTAACCAATCAGATTTGCAGTTATCGAAATTTTGAATTAATATATTAACGTTAATAAAATTAGTTAGCGTTATTTCGAAATATCGTTATAAAAAAAAATATGAAGATTTTAAGTCTTGCTTTTAAGCATCGCATTACTTATGCGAGCAACTGCAAGTCATTATTCTCAAAACCATTAATTAAAAAATTTTCTTCGTGTTCAAGAGTACGCGACGCATTTTCTCCTTTGGATACATTTCCGCGTAGACACAATGGTTCTTCTGAATCCGATGTCAAAAAAATGCTTGATATTGTTGGTGTAAAGGATATGGAGGAATTGGCTTCAAAAACCGTTCCTGCCAATATTCTTTCTAAACAATCCCTTGCTTTAGGCAAAGGCCTTACTGAAAACGAGCTTTTGAAAAAATTGAAGAACATCGCTTCGAAAAATAAAACACATAAAACGTATATCGGCATGGGTTATACTGACACTATCATTCCTCCGGTCATATTAAGAAACATCCTGGAATCTCCTGGATGGTATACACAAGTGAGTACATTCTGATTCATATTAGTACTGCACCACCAGGACATTCGCGTAAAAAGGCGACTTTCATCGGTCTTGCAGTAATCCATTTGCCAGACATAATAAGAAAATGTCAACTCGGAAACTTATCATTATGCACGATTGCCGTCGCATTTTTCAGTATACTCCATATCAACCTGAGATTTCTCAAGGTAAGTAAATGTATTTGCTCATGATTAGCTTTATTTTCCTTTAACGCGTAACAAATTTAGTACTGCTTATTCATAGGTCGCCTTGAATCTCTCTTAAACTTTCAAACTATGATCACTGACCTCACCGGGATGGATATAGCAAATGCTTCCCTTCTCGATGAAGGAACTGCTGCTGCAGAGGCTATGTTTATAGCTTATTCTGCAGGTAAACAAAAACAGCACACTTTCTTTGTGGATAAAAAATGTCACCCTCAGACTATTGCATGCTTGCAGACTCGCGCTGAATGTTTTAAAATCAAGGTCGTAGTTGGAAATGCTTTAGATTATGATTTTGATCAACATGGTAAAGATTTATTTGGAATTTTAGCTCAGGTAATTTTATAGATTATATATAGATAAATTAAATTTTGTTATAATTTATTATAATTTATTTAACTATACTGTTGTCCTTAATTACTAATACTATATCACTTTATCATATAAGTATCCTGCTACTGATGGTACGATAAACGACTATACTGAACTCGCCAATAAAATTCACTCTATGGGTGGACAAATGATTTGTGCTACTGATTTATTGGCGCTTACCTTACTTATTCCACCTGGTGAATGGGGCGCTGATATTGCAATCGGTAACAGTCAACGATTTGGTGTTCCATTAGGTTATGGAGGTCCGCATGCTGCTTTTTTTGCTTGTAAAAAACAGCATGTTCGTAGGATTCCTGGTAGATTAGTTGGTGTTTCACGTGACGGTTCTGGCAATAAAGCCTATCGATTGTCTCTACAAACCAGAGAGCAACATATTAGGAGAGAAAAGGCTACTAGTAATATTTGTACAGCTCAAGCCTTATTAGCCAATATGGCTGCTATGTATGGTGTTTATCATGGACCAGAGGTAAATTTTAATTTACTAATTAATTAATTAATTAATTAATTAATTAATTGATATAAGCAATCTTAATTTAAAATAGGGCGTGAAAAACATTGCCAAGCGCATTCATAATTTTACTAATACTCTTGCGGCTGATATTAAAAGTCACGGATATACTATTAAAACGAACCATTTTTTTGATACATTAAATGTTCATATTGAAGGTGGATCTAAGAAAATATATGAAAAGGCTTTGAAAGCTGGCATTAACCTTCGTAAAGTAGATGATTTTACTATCGGTATCACTTTGGATGAAACAGTTACAAAGAATGACCTAGAGAACCTCATTAATGTTTTTGCTAAGGATCCATCATATGTGCCGAATCTTGTAGATATTGAAAAATCAAACATTCCAAACCGATTTCTTCGTACTTCTCCATTTATGCAACATCAGGTTTTTAATTCTTACCATTCAGAAACAGAAATGCTACGATATATATATCATTTGCAATCTAAAGATCTTTCATTGGCCCATTCTATGATTTCTTTGGGAAGCTGTACTATGAAACTTAATGCTACAACAGAAATGATTCCTGTAACATGGCCTGAGTTTGCAAATATTCATCCTTTCGCTCCAATTGACCAAGCAGAAGGATACAAAATATTGATTCAGGTATGTTAATGGTTATTTAAATTGAATTGATGTATATGCTGATAAAATATATATACTTATTTAGGAGCTTGAGCATGATCTTGCCGAAATAACTGGTTTTGATGGTATTTCATTACAACCTAATTCGGGTGCACAGGGTGAATATGCTGGACTTCGCGTAATTGGTGCGTATCACAAGTCACGTGGAGACGAAAAACGCGATGTTTGTCTTATTCCAGATTCTGCCCATGGCACAAATCCGGCGTCGGCAGCTATGTCTGGTATGTCAGTTCTTAATGTTAAATGTAACAATGGTGATCTTGATATGAAAGATCTCGAAGAAAAGGCAAAAAAATATAAAGATAGATTAGCTGCATTCATGGTTACGTATCCATCAACATTTGGTGTGTTTGAGAACGGTGTTGTAGAAGCCTGCGAGATAATTCATAATTATGGTGGGCAAGTTTATATGGATGGTGCCAATATGAATGCACAGATTGGTTTATGTAAACCTGCTGACATCGGTGCTGATGTTTGTCATTTGAATTTGCACAAGACATTTTGTATACCGCATGGTGGTGGTGGTCCTGGTGTTGGTCCTATAGGAGTGT